ATGATGCGTTACGATACGAAACGAAATGACAGGATGTTCAATAAACTTGCGAGGTGGTTCCTAATTTTCGTTGAGCGACCTACCCAATAATTGCATGTCTTTCTCAGCCACTGTGTTTCTGGTTTTAAAACACATTCATCCGCAGGGTAGCGAATGATGTTCATCTACTCGATGTATTGCTTAAATCTCTAAGATCGTGGAGTGCTCATAAAGTAAATTTAGTGATTCATTCACTGGGTATTAACTCAACTACATATACACATTTTCTTCAGGTTTTCATGAGGTGTCTTCTAAAGAGTGTCAGATTCCATCTGGCCGATTCTTACGATTTAGCCATGCACTTTGCCTGGAAAGCTTTTCAGTTCCAAGCCTCTCTCTGTCTGCATCAGCGAGTCGGCCGCAGGCCCTTGTCAGCAGGGGAGATCACGAGGATCGGCTCAATGACAAAGAAGCAGACCATCAAGAGCGCAGGCGCAGTACCTCCTACTTGGGTGGATCGTACATCAAACAGTGACGAGGAAGCCGCGGCAACTAAAATCCAGGCCACTTTCAGGGGCTATTTCCTTCGGAAACTGGCACGAGCTTACGTGAAAGGTTGGTATGGAGCACTTAACTTTTTAACAATGTACTAGAAAGAACAATGATGAAGTGATTGAAGCTTTTGTAATATGATATGTGGCCATTTGTAAAGTTTAGACTGAAAGCTGAACCTTTGAGACGAGATGAAATATGAAAAGGGCGGACGAAAAAATGAAGCTGAGTATTTGTGCTGGAAAACAGCATAAACAAGCTAAAATCTGGCGATCCGTTTGCGAGGGGAAAAAGACGCGCTCCATGTGAGAATGGAAGGCAAAAAATCAAATCCATCTTCAATGGTTCTACTTAGTAATTTGAGTTTTTTAAGCCCATTCCGATAGACGGTAAACTTCATGAAGGTCCATGCACTCAGAGTCAATCTACGAATGTACAATCTTGAGGATAAAGGGAAAGCTGCCCATACCATTAAGTACAGCTGTATCCCCCTCAGTTGTTAAACGTGTTTTGTGTGGTTACTCACACACCTTGATATTTGCTAATAGTGCTTTTTACAGTTGTGGGCTTGGTGGCCAAGCCTTTGAACAGGAGTGAGGCTAAGGGTGACCCTGTTGAGACCTGTATCTAGTTAGCATGATAACAAAGTAATTTGCATTTGAAAAGCAGCAACATCTCTATCACAACAAGGTCACCCTTAGCCTCACTCCTGTTCAAAGGCTTGGCCACCAAGGCCACAACTGTAAAAAAGGACTAATGATCATGGCTCATGGTCAAACTCTTCAAAAAAGGATTACTGTAGAGATGTTTCGTACCAATTCTTACCTCCGAGTTAGAACGCATCACTTCGTCATCTCCCTAGGGTATTCATTTTCGGAATTTTTCTCACAGGTACCGACGAGCACCAGAAAGCATGGGAGCTTCTCTCCAAAGCTTGGGGTGTTATCGAACCTAACTTGGAGAGCTTTGCCATTCAGATCTTCAGGTTAATGTTCAAACGGGATTCAGAATTGTTCCCTTTGTTTCCTTTCTTCAAAGACGAGTGGAGTCGCGTGGCGTACTCTGATTACCCAGGAGGGTATCCCGAGCAACCACCTCAATCTTGGTTTGTGGTTTTTAGGTAAGAAATAAGGCCTTGCTTTTTATTTCAGTGTTTTTTTGCCTTGTTTTGTTTTTTTTTTTTTTTTGTTTGTTTGTTTGTTTTTTTTGTGTGTGTGTGTGTGTGATTTTATCGAGGTAGAGAATCTCCAGAATGAAAATAAGAAAACGGAAACATGCGAAGGTGGTCATTTAAATGCCGCTTGTAGATTCATCCACCAACATCGCATGAATTTCCCAAATAATGCAATTGGAAAATGCAGTGAGATCAGTTAGGTGAATTTATTTTTCGGTGGATATTGGGACGTAATTAGTGACCAAATTTGCTTTCTTTGGGTTTTCTTTTTAGGGAAGTGTTCTTCGTTGATGAGCCAGTGCTCATGGTCCCTAAACTGTACGTTACCTTACCGACATGTTTATTGCGGGTTGTAGACAATGACTCTGGGGAAGAACTGACCAGGGTCTTTCAGAAAGTTGCACCCAATAACCTGAAGAAGAATAAGGTAACTTTTTCTGTTAACACTAATATGCCTGAGAAAGATAGTCGCCTAGCTCATCATAGAGAGTCTGTGGCTCAGTGGTAGGGCGTCAGAGCTCGGAGTCTGAAGGTCTCAGGTTCGATTCTTCGTGGGGACTCAATTTTCTCCTTGTCCCACGCTCGTTAGAAGACGAAAAAACATCTCTCTGTAAGACGATGATTGTTTTTGATGCCCGTAGAGACCAAGGGCTCTCGGTGTTAGGGATCGCCATTGCTGCTTACTTGATTATTCAGTGTTTTCAGTGGTGCTCAAAGGTGCTCTTTTGCTCTTTAATTCACTGGAATTCCTCTCTTTCATCAGCGTGGTTACACTTTTGTGGCTGAAGCAAGAACGCCAAACGCCATTCTCCCGGCGGGAAAGTTTCGTTTGCGCGTGATCGGTTCCACAGAACCCTTACCCTACCCTGGACGAGAGGGAGTGAACAGTCACTTTGTCACCAGGGAGATCAGGGATTATTATATTCCAAACAAATACAACATCATTTTTAGGTTAGATGGAAGATGAATTTCTTGGAAAGACTCATTGTATCTGACTTACTTTGTAGATAAACTATGTTTTGACACATAAACCTTTACACCTTTACATCAGGAGGCATATTCTCCATACTGTTCTCAATACATTTTTTAAGGTGCTGACTAGGAGAATTTGCTAAACATTCAAGAGCTTCTTTAGTTGGTGATCATTTCCTTTCTTTTTATGACCTTCATGTCGTACGTAGGGGTGATATTGTAAAGAGACATTAGATGCCAGTTCCACTTTGGAGTGAAAGGGCAAAACCAGTGTAATTCTGGGTCACCCGTGTCTATCCATTTTCAGAGTCCTATCTTGTCAGTCAGTCAGTCAGTCATATCCTTTATTTAAACACGATGAGGTTTAAAGCTGGGGGCTTGTGGGGTCGTGTGAATATGATTACAATAACAATAAAAATAGTGTCCCTTAAAATCACTCTACAAAATATACAGTAAGAATAATAAAAATGATTTACATTATTTATCTCTAAGTAAATTGACTACAGCGTTTAAAACATAAAAATAGTTAAAAGCATTTAAAATCTTGGTAGTGCCTGGGTAGTGACTGGACTGACTGTGCGCTAAAATCGAGATCCTTAAAATAAGAGTCCTTCTTCACTTTGCGATAAAAAACTGAAAACTGGTCTGTGAAATGTTTCGAGACAGCGTTCCAGAGTATAGCGCCTCTATAGCTAATGGAGTTTTTAAGAAACTGCGAGTTAAAACGCGGGACAATTATATTATTACTCCTTCGAAAATTGTATGTGGTGCATGGTTTGTTTGTTAAGTATGACAGAGCCGTAGGTGCTTCACCTATAAACATTA